ATTCGGACTTCCTTTGGCGATGAACAGCAATGTGGAAGTATAAGCTGAGTAAACTGTTTCCTACCCTACTTGCTTTTCGGTCATGGTGTTTTTTTCCCAGCAATAGAAACCCTAAGACAAGTAGGTATCAGTATAGTTGGGTATTGCTGTGACAGACCTGTCCATGTTTTGTGGAGGACTGTGGAGGGGTTTTGGAACGTTGGCCTAGAAGAGCTATTGTGTGTTAAGAGCTCAGTAGGATGTTCTTCAGAATCTTGGACAGTAAGAATGTTGAGTGCAGATGATGGAAGCCTGACTGAAATTTCAGAGGGAAGTTTAAAATTTCTATCAGGGCTGTTTGCTATTTTCAGTTAAGATTCTGTCATACTAGTCAGCTGGGGCTGGAGTCAGCTGAGATTAACAAGAGATCAGCATCACTGAAGTGAAACTTTTGCATTACTGGGACAATTGATGTTGGTTAGCTGTAGCTAAGAAATTAGTAGTGATTGAGAGGAGACCAGCATCATGGAGTTGAAATCTTTCAGATGTTTCCTGAAAGTCAGCAGGTGACCAAAGTTGTACCTTCTGCTGTCAGTCATGCTTGGTAAAATGTAAGAGTCATCCAGGTTTTGAAGGCATGAACCAGTCAGAGAGAACTGCCAAGGCTTGGCCTCATAACATGCCAAATAAGAACAGCAGCAACAGTGGAATGAAGCCAGGTGAAGCTGGAAAAGTGACCCAAGCACTTTGGAGGAGTCCAGAAGATGATGAGTGGATCCCAGAAACTGGGATGGTTGGAATTTGATTTTGCTTTGTGACTGTGACCTAATTTTTCCTTTTGGAGTAAGAAAGGGTTTTTTTGGTTGGTTGGTTTTGGTTTTGTGAGGGTTTTTTTTTTTTTTTTGGTTGTTTGGTTTGGTTTTTGTTTGTTTGTTTGGGTTTTTTTTTTTGAGTCCACAACTGATAGAGTTGGGCTTTTAAAAGAATGAATTTTGGAAGGAATTGGCTATTTAAAGGGACTGAAATTGTAATTTTTTAATTTGTAAAGACGATGGGACTTTTTAAGGTATTTAGAGAAAAGAAAGGAAGAGTTATGATGTGTCTGTGCATCAAGGTCACAAAGAGTCAGTTTCACTGGCTGGTCTAGTGTCACCCTGACACAAACTAGAGCTATTAGAGAGGAAAGAGCTTCAGTTGAGGAAATGGCTTCATGAGATCCAGCTGTAAGGTATTTTTTTCAATTAGTGATCAATGGAAGAGGGCCCAGTACATTGTGAGTAGTGCCATTCCTAGGTTCTATAAGAAAGTAGGTTGTGCTGCAGCACTCAAGGAGAACAAGCCCTGTACTTCATTCACCTGGGCAGCACATTAGAGCTGGCCCTGCTGGCATGGAAATGGGTAAGACGGCCCCAGGGAATTAGAGAAGAAGAGATGGGTCTGCCCCTTGCCAGCTGCAGCATTGGGTGAGCTACCTGGGACAGTACTGAAGGGATCACCCTGGTGGTGTACGTGCAAGAGACCCAACAGGCTCACCAGCTCAACCAACCCAGATCCAAGGCTTTGAGTTGGCCCACCACAACATCTACCCAAATAGTAAACCAGAGCATGTGAAGGGCTGGTCCCACAGATCCAAAGCTGAAGGATCTCCATGACACAGGGCAACAATGGGATATCTGAAAGCAGTCCCATTAAGGATTCAGTAAGATAGAGTAGCAGAAGCTAGAGGCCTCAAATCAGACCAATGACTCAGCAATGAACATTTGCAAGTGAAGAAGTGTGGACAGGATATACTGTGGGACACACTGTCACACACTACAACTTCATTTTTTTTTTCTTTTGGAGGAAAAGTTGCAAGGACAGAGGCTGGTAGGACGGGACAGAAGAGAGTGGAATTGGGGTGTATGATGTGAAATTAACAATTTTTTTTTAAAGTTTGTGTGTGAAAGAGAGAAAGAGCACACACACATAAGAGAACACGCACTCGAGTAACCCATAGGAAACAAACCAGTAAGCAGAACTCCTCCATGGCTTCTGTATCAGTTCCTGCCTCCAGGATACTGTACTGTTTCTTATCCTGACTTCCTTTGGTGATAGACAGCAGTGTGGGAGTGTAAGTTGAATAAATCCTTTCCTCCCAAATTTGCTTTTTTTTTTTTCACAGGGTTTTGTTCATACAATAGAAACCCTAAGACAAAGGGCCAATTTTAACAAATTGCTTAAGTACATTTTGCTTTATCTTGACAATGGACTCAGGAAAGAACACAATAGACTCAATTTGCCTAGCATAGCATAACATCTTATAATTGGATCTGTGTAGTATTTATGCAGAATTTCTTATAACTGTTTTTCATTTGTAGCTTTAAAAACTCAGAATCGAATATAACCACAAGGTTTTATTTCCTTTTATGTGAAAGTATATATCAAGTGCTTAATGTTTTCCAATAAGGAAAAGCATGGGTATGCTACATTTGCATTTATAAGCTTAATTTTAGAACATCTCACCCACTTTACCATTCTCTGATCATTTTTTGCTATGCTTTTGTTTACTATGCATTGTGGTCTAAGTAGAAGTGTTGTTTATAGATTTGTGTATTGAAGGCTTGGTTCCCAGCTAAAAATGCATATTCCTTTAACCTTAGCCCTCAGAATTCAGAAGTTCTTATAAAAACAGTGATGTGAACTATCTTCTTACATTGAAATTTAGTTTCAAAATTGTGGTTTTTAGGAATTATCTTAGTTAAGGTTTCATTGCTGTGATCAAGGCAATTCTTATAAAGGCCATTTAATTGAGGCTAGCTTAGCTTCAGAGGTTCAGTCCATTATATCATCAAGGCAGGAGCATGACAGCATCTAGATAGACATGGCACTGGAAGAGACAAAAGTTCTGTATCTTGATCAAAAGGCAGCCAGAAGACTCTCTTCTGCAGGCAAAGGGAGAATCATCTCTTCTGCCCTAGGTGGAACTTAAGCATAGGACCTTAAAGCCCACCCTGACAGAAACCAACTTCCTCCAACAAGACCACATTGCCTAATAGTACCATTTCCTACGTCCAAACATATTCAAACCTCCACAGGAATGGCCATTCTGATTCTAACTTAGCTAATAGTTACTCTTCTACAAGAATACTATTTGCAGGCTCTGATATCATTAGATTTTTTGATCATCTTGTCTTCAATATTTACTATATTTGTCTACTTCTTTCAACATTTATTCTTTGAAATTAAATTTTCATTCAATCTCTTTAATTTTAAAATAACTTTATTCAGATAATATAAGCATATCACTGTGAAACTTAAATTTGTCTTTACTGAATACTGTATAAAATACAATAAAACTTTAAGTCACTTTTAACAAGGCATTAACCGTTTCCTTCCAGTTAAACAAAGCAAAGGAAAAATAAGAACAGAAACAAAAATGTAAGAAAATTGAAAAATAAATGCAATGCACATCTGCATTTACAGTTTATACAAAGTTTCTCTTTAAGCTTCTACTCAAAACAATCAGACTTATTTAAATTCCACAAAGTCTTCTTGAACCTATTCAGTAAAAACTGGACAAGGTGAAACACATTTATCCTTTCAAAGCTACCAAATATAGATTTTTAACTTGTCATAAACGGACTACCTAAAGTATTTCTGAATATTCTAGGTTTTTTTTCTTGAACTAGCATTGATGAAAGGGGACTACACAAGAAAAGGGGGCTCTAAAGGGAAGGAGGATGGGGTTGCAAAAAAGGGTGATGGTGGAAAACATGTTTCTCCTTTAGAATTCAGGCTTAGTAATGTTTTGTATCTGACATGTGATACAAAAGAGACTGGTTGGGAGAAACAGAGGAGCAAATATGAGCAAAGTACAATGATACACAAGTATGAAACTCTCATAATGAAATCCATTATTTTGTATATTAACTTGAATTTAAAGATAAAATATTCATAAATCTGATTCTTAAATTTGGTTCTGGGCCAAGAAAATTAGGCACTTTTTATAAGAATCTGCTAACATGTTTTTTTTTTTTAACATTTTTTTTATGCTGTTTTTGGCCAGTTTTCCTTTAAATACTTCACAACGAAAATGTCACTATTTCCCTATTGCCATTTCAGGGCTAATGCATTTCAGTGTTAAAATTTGGCTGAAAGTTTTAGTTTTTCAAAGTTTCATATTTTCAGCTTCAATTTTTCATTGGTTCCCTAATGTTGAAATTGTTGTCCAAATGCTGAATGCAGTTCTCTTTAATGACCAAGGAATTTTAGATCTAACAACAACAAACACTGAAAGATCTCCACATCTTCAAAAGCAAACTTGAACTAAGCATACTCTTCCTTAGCTTATGACGATAGAAAACCTGAAACAATACACACTGTGTATTCCAAAGCAATAGACAAACATAGATAGCACAGTGTATCTTGACAACTTTTAACTTATGCTAAAAATCTAAGTATGGCATTACTATAAAACTACTGACATAGATTCCTATAAAGTATGTTCCCAAATCAACTAATAACAACCTCAAAAATATTTTAAGTAGTCAAATACCAGGCTCATGAAAACAGTCTGTTCTGAATGCCTAATTTTGAAGCTAAGCAAAGCAGTTTTCCTCAATCCCATAAGTAAATTCTCAGCTAATAACAACAAAGGACCAATATTTTCTAAAACTGAAGCTTGACAGTCATTAATTCAAAACAAATTGGAAAGCAGGGAATAAAACATGCTAGGCAAACAAGCATTCTGCTACTGAGCTACATATCCAACTACTCTTATTTCTCACTTAAAGCTGCAGGCACTGATAAAATTTGGAATTTTCTAGTTTCTCCCCAAAACTGGGGTTGCACTGAGACTTACAAAGTACTACAGGTTTCTTAAGGTTTTTGTTCCTTGTTTTAAGTACTTCATCCAATGGCACCACATTGTTACTTTCGTGATGCCAGGAATCTAGACACACCATACAGATGGGCTTTTTTTTTTCTACCTCACTGAAGAGCTCTGGGGTTTCCTCATATGTAGAGCACATGCTTTGCTAATTTCATGGAGTATGGCAAATCTGGCGAATTATATGGACCATATTGGCCAGCTGCAAATTGGGTCGAAAACTGCGACTTGGAAAAGTCCTTCGGCATTGTGGGCAGCTGAAAACTTGTGGTGTGGGACGAGGTGGAGAACGTATTCGAACATCTGGATAGAGCTGCCGACGCACAGATGGATGTGGAGGGCCATGGCGAAAGACTGGGCGGCGGCGGTAGTGGCCAAAGTGATGGTATTGGTGGCCATCGTGGGGGTGTTCATCTCTTTCTTCTTCTTCTGGAAAAACCCTAATTCTCAGGTCATGTACCAATCCTTGTAAACCGTTCCAATCTTCTTCCTCATCATCCCACACAGAGTCTGCATTGCCCCAGCGCCTTCTACGGCTATGGCCAACCCAGCGTCCAGCATGTGCTCGGTGCTGAAACACCTCCTGTTCTGTGTACCTATGAAACAAAACCTCTCTAATGACGTGGTCCCCTACAGCAGGATGTGCCAGGTCCCGTTCATCTTCCTTGCCCCACAGCTGGGTCACACACCCTCGGCAGAAGTTGTGCCCACAGCCAATGGACACAGGGTCCTTAAAGTAATCCAGACAGATGGCACATACTGCTTCTTCCCGAAGTGATTGCATAGGGCTGGGAGGCCTAGGAGGGGCGGCCATCTTAGAGCACACGGGTCCTCAGAAACAGAGAGGCCCTCGCTGCCCTGCCAAGAAGCACAAAGCACAAAACCACAAGTGGAAGGTCTAGCCTATACCACCCAAGAACGCAAAGGTGATAGGACTCCCTTCCCTACCAACGGGTCCAAAGGCCCAAAGTCTCCCTGCCCAGCCACGGGACACAAAGGCGGTAGGCCTCGCTGCCAAGCAGAGGGGCGCTAAGGATTCAAGACCTTGCTGCCCAAACAAGTCTCAAACACGGTAAGCCTCACTGCCCAGGAGAGGGTCGAGAAGAACTAAGGCCTCCTCGCTGCCCAGACGACAGGCGCTGAGGACGTAGGCTTCCTCGCTGCCCAGACACAGGCGCTGAGGACGTAGGCCTCCTCGCTGCCCAGACCACAGGCGCTGAGGACGTAGGCTTCCTCGCTGCCCAGACGACAGGCGCTGAGGACGTAGGCCTCCTCGCTGCCCAGACGACAGGCGCTGAGGACGTAGGCCTCAGGCCTCGCTCCGCAGTGACACGCGCGACTCCAGCAGGTTTTGCTGGCCAGCTACAACCTGCTGCCACCGCCCCCGGCCCGGCTTTCCTGGGTCCACTCACGGCAGCCCTCGCTCCGGAAGCCACTGGCGCAGACCCACGCAGCTGACTGGAGCCTCGAAGAACCCCGGCATCCGGAAGCTAGCAGCCTCGGCCGGCGTCTGCCTCACACGTGCTGGCGGCTCCTCAATAAGAAGCACCTGGAAGTGACGTCAACACACTGGGGGGGGAGACAAACAAACAAAAAATTCGACGCTCTGGGCCATTGGAGGACCTTCGTCTTAATGGTATTCAAGTCAGGGGCCATACTGGATGGAAAAAAGACTAGTGAAAATTGCAAGAGTGGAGGAGAGAGCGTGCCTGTAATCCTGACAGGTCAGAGGTGAAAGGTCAGGAGTTCAAAGCACTCTCAGCCGCATAGCAGCTTTGAAACTCATCTTGTCCACAAGACACATCTCTAAATAAATAGACACATAGCCAAAAGAACAGAAACATAAAGTAAAAACAGACTGCTGGGCCCAGAGTCCTAAAAATAAGGACGCATGTTTCAAAAGCTCTGTGGCGGTCCTCATTGTCATCATCAGTGTCGTCATCATTGTCGATGTCATCCTCACAAACAACTGCTCCTCACAGCTAAATACCACTTCCCATCGAAATTCATATTAGAGCTCTTATTCCACTCTAAGAAGTGTCTATTATCTTGCCCCAAATAAAAAAAGGTTGTTACAAAGTTGATAAATATAATTAAGTCATGCTGGAAAGAATGTTCCAGACTGGGAATATGCAGCTGCAGTGAGGAGATATTTTGGCACTACGTGAATTATAAAAAGCTAAAATGATTAATAAGTATGGAACTGGTCTGCCGAGGATATTGCAATCCCTTCATGGTTATTAAGAGGCGTATTAAGTACGTGACAATAGCAGTATATTATCTGTTACGAAGAAGTTGCTTTTAACACTTTTAGAAGTTTAAGTTGTTTGTGGGTTTTGGTTTTGGTTTTTAGGGGTTTTTTGCTTTGTTTTGTTGTTTTCAATTTCGCAAAACATTCAGCATTGTGATTCCATACTTAAGTCAGCATTTTAAAATGATCACATTTTATTAATATGAAAACCTAGATATTCCAAACGGTCTAAATTGTTTATAGTTTACAAATGAAACACTCTTATTTCGTCATAATATCTTGCTTATATAAATATCCAGATTTTTAATGTATTAAATCACAAATAACAAGCATCACCCCAGCAACACTAACTTATAGGCTAGATAACTGAGGCATAGAAAAATAAATAACAATAAAAAATGTTTTAAAATAATAAAAACAACCATAAAAAAATTCAGAAGATGAGAGGTTCTGCCAGAGCCTGACAAATACCAAGGCTGGCAGCCAACCATTGAACTGAGCACGGAGTCCCCAATGGAGAAGCTAGAGAAAAGACTGAGGAACTGAAGGGGTGATGATGACACTGATGACAAGGGCAATGAGGAAGACCACCACAGACCTTTTTGAAACATGCGTGCTTATTTTTAGGACTCTGGGCCCACCAGTCCATTTTTATTTTATTCACCTGGCTATCTGTCGATTTATTTAGAGATACATTTTGTGGCCAAGATGAGTTTCAAGTGGATGAGTGAGTGGGTGGGTGAACACTCTCACAGAAACCGGGGAAGAGAGGAGGGGAAACCAAAAAAGGAGATAACATTTGAAATGTAAATAAATAAAATATCCAATAAAACAATAAAAGAAAGAAAATTCAGGAGAAACAAAATACAAGACTCTAAAACACCCACTGACTATCCCAGCTATCTATAACAAAAGAGTTGAACGTCTACAAGTAAAGAAATAGATACATAATTACACCACAGCTAGGCAGAAAACTGAGGTTTACCCACTATAGAGGATGAATCAGAGAAAAGTATTGACAACACAGGACACACCAGAGAATTCTCTTCCCAGATGCACACTGAAACATGAGAACTCTCTGACCTTCTATATCTAACTCAAATGCCAGCAACCAGTAATAGACCCTCCTGGAAGGAAATGGATTTAATTTTTCTCTAGAGAGTCTAAATAGATTGAAGAAAAAGATCTGGGTAGAAAAATAATACAAAACGTGGTCAGCAGTTCACTGACCAAACAGTGCAACTAGGTTACCTAACCAGGAAGGAAGCAGCTTCTAGCCCACACATTAGATAGTTAATGGCTAATTTTCAAATATTTGTTGACAGTCAAAATTCTCTAGGTATTTGAAAATTTTTCTAACATAAAGAAGAAATTTTTTTTGAAAGAAACAATTTTGGATAAAATAATGACCTTCAAAGGGGAAAATATGTGGTTATGTTTAACTTCTAGCCCACAGATACTGATTTTACTAAATAAAACAACTTATTGAAAAAAGACACAAAAGTTAGAAAGAGGTCCTACGAGTTAAGATCACATATTGCTCTTGCAGAGAACTTGAGCAGTTCCCAGCAACCACATCAAACAGCTCACAAACATCTGTGATTCTAGTTCCCAGGGATAAACACCCTCTTCTGACTTCTCCAGTCACCTGTACTCATGTGCACACACCCACAAACAAACACATACACACATCATTTTAAATTAAATATTAAATTAAAAACTAAATATTTAAATAAATTTAAGTTTAAAACATAAGTGAATCTTTAAAAAAACACAAGCAAGCAATGAAAATAGAAACAGGATAGAAAAATGAAAATAATAATTAGACAATGATACATACCCAATTAAAATAAAAGATAAGGGAAATTAAATATATAAAAATACAGGTCACTGGTAGAAGAGGGAGAACACAGGAGAATTATAAAATAAAAATTTCAGAAATAATTCAGTAAGATGTTCCAAAATTGAAATTAAGAAAGAAAAATAAAAAAAATAAAAAAAAATGCTCAGCACAGGAAAGCACAGGAGAGGCCTACTTCAAGGCTTATTGCTTTAAAGCTTATGACATGAAGACAAAATTTCCAAAGAGAAAATATCATAGTGGAACTGTGGAGCAGTGAGACTAGGTAACAAATAAAATAAGTAATTTTAAAATTCTGAATGAATATTGTTTCCATCCCATACTTAATGACTACCAAATTGGAAATGCCATGTTGGGAGTAAAGACATTTGCATGCTTTCAAACTAGCATAAACTTGATCTCCCATGAAACTGTTACTCAAAAGTTAATAGAAGCTGGGATGGTGGATTGGGCAGATCACAGAACAACAAATGACCTGCAAATGGACTGGCTGAGTGGTAAGTACGGAGTAGATATGAAGAAAACCTCTTCCACAGGGATGGCTTCAAAACCATGGAATTAATAAGTATGCTTGAAAGTTCACAATACTGAAGACATATGCACTTCAGTAGCCAACTTAAGGATGGCTTGCTGATAGCTATATACAAAATAAAGAAATCACAACGTAGGCACAGACAGAGAGATACTAACTCCAATTTTTAACAAGGCCAAAGGAGACATCCACTGGGAAATATGGATATAAAAATTTTGGATCACCTCTGAAAGAAATATTTAAGCACTCATAGTAATGTAGAGCCTGCTTATTAATGATTATTTTAAATAAGCATATTTTGGAAAATGTAAAAACATAGTAAGCAAAACAAGTAGATATATCATGTCCAAAACTAGAACGGCATAATAATAAATTACTTTCAGAAAAATTTTAAATAATGTATTGTTAAGTGCCAAAGAAATAGACAAAGGTTAATCAGGATAGATTTAAGAAAGTAAAGAACAGGGATATTTTTTATAAAAACCTTTGTAGATGTTTCACCTCACTACTAAGGTTGTATTCTACCATGTCTAGACACCTTTCCCGAACTCAGAACAAAACTGAAGACTGCCTTTTCTTAGCAGGGCTTCTTCTTCTCAGCCTGATACGGGGAGGCCAACCCATACACTACTTGGGGAATATCACATAACCCCTAGTTACAGGCTCAACTTCCTGGAATTCCTCTCCATGCAAATGAGGTATCCCCAATACCTTAAGCCTCAGTCATTGAAATTTCACCCTAAGAAAAACCCCTTCACACTCTGCAAGGTTCAGGTTCATATATACAACCCTGGTTCACTCAGAATAAAACATATGTGTACAAGCCCACCCCAAATAAAGGTATGTACACAAGACCAGGAAGAAATGTATATACTGGTTAGCTTCCTGGGCCTTGCCTGGCTACTTCTCTTATACACCCAAGACCTACCCCCCTTGGGATGACACCAAGGAGCTGGGCCCTCTTACAACAATTATTTAAATTAACATTATTTGAAAATGTCCCCAGATATACCAACCAGCCAATCTAATGGAGGCAATTCCTCAGTTAAGGTTCTTTCTTACAGGTGACTCTCATTTGTGTCAAGTTCACAAAAACTAACCACCACTCCAGGTCTGATACCGTTGAATACTGATGCAGTAACAGGCTCCAAACTCTAGAAACCAAAGCCA